TCAGAACTTATCTACTTGTATTCACCACCCTGTTCGCTGAGGTCCGACAACCTACACCTGCTGTCCGTCCCTCAGACTCATTTAATGACTCGTGGTGATCGTGTGTTTGAAACCATGGCTCATTACGATCTTCCAACTCGTTGATGTTTAGACAGGCCTATGGGTAATCATGTCTTCCCATAGATCTATGTTTTACTGTGCCAGTCGTTGTTCCTGGTCATAGAAGGATTTTATCATGTCGGTTCAGGAAGTAGTCGTTTGTTGCTGTTTCTATTATATGTATGTTATATTTTGTGGATGTAAAGCACTTTGTGACCGTCATCTGTGAAAGGTGCCATATAAATAAACTTCGCTTACGTACTTACTCTCTCAAGTGGAGCTTTGAAGCCAGACAATGGTGGTCTCCACCTAACTTTCAGTCGACTTAGAAACAGGCAAAGAGCTGGGGATGAGGCGGGCCTTAAGCTTCCTGACAAACGACTGCAATGTTCATGACCGTCAGTCAGCAAAATCAACAAAAAACCAAAGTTCCTTATAGGAGCTTTAAGTTCAAGCCTAACTTCAAGAGTTCTAGAAGTTAAATGGCTTCAAAGGAAAATGTGTGTCTTCATTTTGTAGTCCTTAAATTTAAGTGGTAGCTAGAGAGAATGGGGAATGGCATCCTGGAAAGGAGGTCCGCAGGTCTGAATTGAACCTTGGAGGCTAAAGTCTCCATACATGGGGGAAGACACTAGGCCCTGATCAATACTTCTGTTATATAAACCTCCACCTTCGGATTCAAACACCTGGTGGAAGTATTTGGTTGATGTGATTGCTTCAGGCATGTATTTACCTCGTCTTCACTTTCAGTTTCTTAAACTAAACACATCTCAAACATAACTGTAACGCCTTTCTCCTGTCAACCTGTCATTCTCCGGCATTCAGCCTGTTGATACTGCCACAGCGGGGTGGAGGAAGTTGAAGTGTTTATTCAGCTCGGATAGCATGGCTTCCTGCTTGCCTTTTAATTACTCTGCACTCAGAAAGCCTGAGACTGATGTGAGGAGGAGCAGCAGGCTCGATTGGATGCAGCGTCACAAAACACATCAGGGACGGATACTCCTGACTTGTTAAAGGCTGCAGATCAATCCGAACCCCTTCCTGCCACTCGGCTCAACTCTCTTCTCCTCTCCGCTCAGCCAGACAATCTCTTTGTTTACCACTATTTCAGCTCCTCTGTCGACCACTCGGTTTCTCTGGGTGGCTTTTGTGTCTGAACTCTCTCCTCTCTTGTCTCGCTCCGTCAAAGCCCTCTTCATCTGTTCCTGTTCTTTTTTAGCTCCTGTCTATGGCCTGCCTGTTTGTATATTTGTCTGTCCTTGAAAAGCACTTGGATTTTGAAAAGTGCTCTTCAGCTATCAGAAAACCCAAAAACCACAAGCCTGCATTCAAATATCAACATTTTAAAACATGTATGCCTTCAAAATAAGACCTCCAGTGAAAACATGAGTCATTTAATAGAAAGCATTCATTCTCTTAAGAGTACTGATTAAAGGTCACAAATTCTAAAAACATGTGTGTGAAGTTTCTTGTTCTAAATCCACTCTGATCCTGTATTTGATCATGCCTATTAACCGCTCTATTTCAGCCCTGCTCAGAACAGGCTGTTTCTGTGTCTGTACCTTTAAATATGTAAATGAGCTGTGTTTGACCACGCCCCCTCTCTGGAAGGGCTTGGGTGTCTCGGGCTTCCTCGCTCCATGCCCTATTGTTTACGTTGAGAAGGCAGACTCAGAGGGCAGAACAAACACCTAGCTGTGGGAGTGTCACCCACCTGGGGGAGGGGTTACTGCCCTTTGTGATGTCATGAAGGGAAAATTTCCAAACGGCCTGTTTGAGCACACATTTTCTGAAAAGTGGAGCAGGAAAAAGACGGAGAGGATGGACTTTTCTCCCAGTGTTAGTGTTATTTTTACATCACTTGTCGAAAACTGGATCAAAACAACACTCCTGTTTTCTGCTTTTCTCCCCTCGGGGACTGTGTGTGAAATTCACACTATTACACTTAATTAGGGTCATAATACCACAAGTGCCCCAACAGATTAACCTGCTAATGCGTCAGTGCTATATTTACAAGCTGGGTCACACACACGCACCCCTCCTCCAGTATATTCGACTGTTTAGCTTACGATTAACGACTAACAACTTAAAGAAACAGGAAGGGGGGAAATAAAGTCAATTTTCACGAAGTAAAGCAGATACAACGGATCCTCTCCCTCCAACCTGTTACATTAGACTCTTAGAAGACAAAGATGTACCCTTGAAGTCTGAAACAAATGCTAATGTGCACAGCAACACGCAGGTTTGACCCACACTAAGTAACTGTTACTGCAGAACACCCACCCCCACAGTTGGTAAATAAGCGGTTTTACCAGAAAGTAGAGGTTGGAAACATGTTATCAAACTCAAATGTAGTGGGAATCTAAAGAAGCCTTCATAGAAGAAAGGACAGATGCAATGTCACCTGAAATACAGGTTTTCAGTCTCTGCAGACGGACTACTCACATAAAGAAGTGACAGAAATAATGAAAAAGTAAAGAGAGATGTTCCAGACCTCCTCAGGTGGGTTTGATTGTCTGAGTCTTGGTTCCGGTGGGTTATTGTTGTCCGAGCTCAATCGTTAAAGCATCGACATGTTTGAACTACTCGATGCATTCGTACCTTTCATTTCAGCTTTCAGACTGTTCACCCTGTTTGTGTGGAGAAAGTTATCCGAGGACTGACAAGGGTAAATAAAAGTGGATGATGCGATGTAACTTTAGCTGGGCCTCAGCGACAGTAACTCCATTCTCAGCTCGCTGCTTCTCTGTTTACTGAAAGGTCGCAACTGTCAGGGGAGTTAGCGGCGGTCCGGTGGCACAAAACAGCAGGTCAAAGCTCAGCGAGGATAGACAGGATATAACACATTTGTTCACTCTGCCTGCTGCACAGTGCACACCTATCTCTCAGGGTCCCTCCACCTGAGTGCAGTCTGAACTCGGAGGAGGAGGAGGAGGGGTACATAGAGGAGCCATTTAGGAGGGACTGGGGCACAACCTGGGCAGCGATGTGGTGAGGAGCTTTTGATCCCCGTCTTTACTGGTTTTCCTCAGGCATGTCAAGATTTCAGTTTTGGCTGGAGATCAGGGAGAGTCCTATATTTGGGCTTTTTGTTTTCTCAAGGTTATCTTTTGTTCTTTAGGGGGGAGGTGCCGAGAACAACGACCCATGATGTGGTTGGCTCGGCACCTTCCCATCTTGGGGTCTACAGCCCCTTTATTCTTTCATTTGTTTCTTATTTATTTTTGATTAATTTGGGGTGAGTCTATTTACATTGAATAAAGCTCACTGTTAAATTTTAAATGTGTGGCGGCCTCTGTGTTCTGGTCTCCATGCTTTGAGCCTTGAGGTGATTATGTAGGTTTAGGAGGCCCTAACAACATTCAAACAACACAGTCGTCCCTGTTAGCAAACCCACTATGAGAATTAGACCCAGTGTGGATATAAGTGTTATTAAGAATGTATTAACACTGTTTACAGTAATGCTTAAATCTAATGAAACATGTTTGTTTGGCTGTTTGGTGCTGTAGTTTTCTTATTAACATGAATAATCAGCACGTCTCTGTGTGGAGATGTCTGCAGTCGAGCTTTAGAAGAGTTTGAGTACAGAAAAGTTTCAACCATTAAAAATAAGTTAATGGAGTTATTTAATGGTCTGTGTCAGGCTTTTATAATCAAGGACTACTTTCTTACAGAGAATCACCAATGAGCACACACACGCAAAGCAATTTATCCTCAATAAACGACCAAGACATGCACCAAAGACAGAAAATGTGTTTTTAACTGTTGCCTTAATTTGTCTTTTATAGCTTCTTTTGTCCATTTCTGTTTCTCAATAATATGCTAAATCTCAGCCTCCAGTAGAAGAAGACACACGGTGAATAACAGCATGAACATGTAAAGTGCATCATGTTGCATCACAACGGATGAGTTAACCGACTTTTACAGGTGTATTGATTGTGAGCACAGGTTCCTGCACAGTGATGTGCGATGAAGACACAATGTTTAGTAGAAAAGCCTCTTTATTTTTGCCTTGTTTGATTTGGAGACTACCTGCAACAGTAAAAAGTTGTATGATGAATGCAGTTTGTCCTCTACGTTACATTTTCAGATGAAAAGCTTCAGTGTGCATGATTAGCAGGGGATTAGCTTTGTTCTGAGGGTGTAAATCTTAAAGGAGCAGTATGTAACTCTGTCACCTAGTGGTTGAAATGGGTACTACAGTACAAATCCAAAACATTGTAGAGAGCTGTCTCCCCCCGCCCCCTCCTCCTTAGAGTCGAAGCTCACACAGGTTGCCATGTGGTGGACACTGTAGCTTCAGTGTTTAGCCAGCTCTGCATCGCTCTGTAAACCTTTCTGCGTTCTAACCTCTCTCCATTTTTCAAAAGCATCTCCAATCTTGATCCTAGTTTGAGCACGTTTCTGCTCGTGGAGCTTATTAGAAACATGCAGAGGCTTTTTAGGTCGGGTACAATCACTTCTATCTGAACCACTTCTCTTGCCCGCTTCCATCGCTGCAACACCTGTTGGTTTGACCTGATAACTGCTCTCATATCTGGCAAACCGAGGGGCGTCCAAAACGGCCGTGTGGGGGGTGTCTTAAAAGCGCCTACCTTCTCTGGTCCAAACAAATCCAGAGCATTCAGGAGCAGAATCTAAAGTTAGGAGGACATACTGGCTGCTGAATTGTTGTCAGAGAAGCCAGCACTTCAACAGAGCATGTTTCCTTAATGTCTGATCATATAGTAAGATCACTTTATCATTTCAGTCAGTAGATATCTCACATATTTTTCCTTTCTCCGCTTCACATTTGATCTCTCTCCTCCAACTTTCTCTGTACCTCTCTTTTCTTTGTCTGACTTTAACTAGCATCTTTCTTTGCACATGATTCTCATATGTCCATCTTTCTTTTCTCCTAGCCAAGCCCAAGAACTCCGCCAAAGTTGTGACCGTCCAGGCTGGCTCCAAGTCGGTGGTGGTGGCCCAGTGCGAGGCAGCAGACGGCAAGCCAGCAGCCACCATCAAGTGGTTGGGGTCAGTCGGAGGCAACCACTCAACCACCACCGCAAACGGGCCAGACGGCACGGTGACGGTACGCAGCGAGTACCGGCTGGTTCCAACGCCTGCAGACAACGGCAGAGATGTGGTGTGCATGGTGGAGCAGAGGACGCAGGAGCAGCCGTGGGTTAACACCGTCAAGCTGTCTGTCGAATGTAAGGAAGACACTAAATCTTACGTTTGTGTTCACACATTAACGTTTTAGGCAGGTGTCTTTGGTTCATAACAAGTAACTCTATCCAAAAGAGCCTTTGAGTTTGTATTTTGGCAGTCACCTGCAGACTGTCACCCAAAATATATAGACACAGGACAGATTGCCAAATGTAAGAAATTTCAGAAATCAGACATTAATGGTGAGAAGAGGATTCTTTACTGTGATCGTTTGCAGCACTTTCTCAGTCACAGACAAACTGAGACAAACTTTAAGGAGATCTTAAAAAGTCGGCTTCACAAAATGTTGGAAAGTTTTTCTTGTAAGACTTTTGCCCCTTTGGAGTGTAATAAAATCAAGACGGCACATTTATAGTCACACATTTGCATCCGCACGCTGCGTTCGCCCAAATCTTTTAAATTCCCTTCTAATCTACACGGGATCAAAATCTTAGACGGGTGCAGGAGGGTTTTTATCAGAGATTTAGAGAACGAGACGGCATCAGCTCGTCTGTGTGACCTCACAGCTCTTCCCGCCAAGAAGGAACAGATTGTTTTTGTTCGGCGTCGTTTCAGAGTTTGCAGTTTATATACTCGAGGTCTTTAATGAAATTTATACACAGTTCAGAAAGTCAAAGATTTAGAAGAGTGAATGCAAAATAGAGCCCTCAGGAAAATCTGTGAGCTGGAGACTGTACACACAATCCAATAAAGCAAACACACATAATCAAAGCACCTGAACAAACAACCAGGAAGAGAAGCTGTCTGCAGCGAGAGTGCTGCTGAATATGTTCTGAGGTAGCAGCTGACTGGGAATCTGATTTGAAGTTTCAAGGAGCTCTTATAATGTCTGGGTCAAAACAGGAGTCGTGAATTAAGCGTCTTTAACATAGAGCGGATAGAAATGGTCAAACGAGCAGGGCCACAAAGCATAAAGCTACAGAATGAGACGAAGCGGGAGTGGAGAGGTGTGTGTGTGCGTGTGTGTGTGCGTGTGTGTGTAGCTGAGTGATGGTGTGAGGGATCACGTTTCCTGTCTGCTGTGTAACTCGCGTCACTTTTATAGGTCAGCGCTCTCTAGGAGGAAACATGGATCACACTACACACACACTTGCCCTGGTGTCCTGCTGCTTCACTGCCTTCACACACACTCCTCTCTTCACACTCCTCCATCTCTCTCTCTCTCTCTCTCTCTTTCTTACATAGAAGAGGTGAAGGGAAAACGAGCTAAGCTTCTCTGTTGTGTTTTAACCCTTTAACATAAGACTCTTACAGAAGTGATATCAGGAGGAAAAGCTCTTGAAGGTAGCAAGCTTTTTTTTACCACATATTTTACATTTCTTACTCTGGCTTACACACACCAATACACATACACCAGTATACACACACCAGTACACACACATCAGTATACACACATCAGTTTACATACAGGGTTTACCATCACATTTTCCCACCGCTTGATAAAAAAAAAAAAAAAGGTAAAGATTCATGCTGAAAGCCTGATGTCACTGTGTTGACCATTAATCCTCTAACTCTATTTTACAGTACGCTGCACACGGCCGCTTTATGTGTCAAAACAATCTCATAACTGGGACTTAACAGGAACCTATGACCCGTTGCACCAGCAGTGTTTAAGTTCTGTTTTAAGTTCAGTTCACGCCAAACAGTCAATGAAAAGTGTGTTTGTGACTGAAGTTGTCTCAATGTTTTGTGACAACACGGAGACAAAATGTTCATCGTAGAGTGTAACGTCTAGGGGCGTGTCAAGACTTTTCTTTTTACTTTGGTGCCAACTTATTCAGAGGTAGAACTTGTGTGCATCGCGTACACGATTGGATTTTATTTATTATCCCTTTCTATGTCAACTACTTACGTTCAAGAAACAAAAATGGAAACATATCAATCTTCTTAGCTCATATTTTTAAAGACTCAGAAAGGAGATGACTGTCCAAAGCTTGGACTGTAAATATTAAAAGATGAAGCCTGAGTGACGTCAGCCGTCTGTTCCTTCAGGGGGCTCTGGAGGCTCATCAGCAGTAGCCACCATGTTGGAAATCCTGTCTCATCCTAACTTTCAGTCAACCTGATGACAGGCTGAGAGCTGGAGCTGAGGCGGGTTTTAAGCCTCCTGACAAACAGTTACATTGCGCCCACCTGTCAATCATGTCAGCTTGGCTTCTAACTATGGATAACATGTATCGTTCAAAAAATCAAAACAAAGCCGTTTAAAAAAAAAAAAAATCACCCCCCTGTACAGTGTGTGCCAGTGATGACAATAACTAATCAGACCTGTTTGTTTTTTTTGTATCAGGCTGTAAACATGTTAATTTATGATTTAAAAACTGCTTATTTTGGCTGTGGTGTGTATGTGACTTCCGCTGTTCCTGGAGGAAGCCTCTAGTGGACACTCGATGAACTGCAGGATTTTTTCACTTCTGCATTGGATTCATTTTTCAACACAAAGTCACACAAAACACAAACTCCCGCAAACTATCCATATTTTTTTTTGTGTGTGTATTTGTTCCTATTTTATGAAATTGATTTTCAAAGTATGTATTTACAATGTAAAGTACTAAAAAAATAAAACATGCTTCAGCCTGTCCTGTCTCTGAGGGAAATAGCCAGTCAAGGTTTAGCAGTCATGGTGGCCAGATTCACAGCGGCCCATGCCAGCCTTCTGGACAGGCCAACGACCAAACAAACCACCATGTTGTTGCAGGGATGGCGGTGGGAAAAATAATATTATTGCTGCCAAGCTGAGGTGGTAAAAGAATCCCATTTATTTTTATGAAATAAACAAACTGATTATTCAAGGTTGGACTTGACTGATATTCCCCGTTTGTATCCAGGAAGAGTCGCTGAATACACAGGTTGAATGAGAGACGTGACCACATCACGCAGGTCAAAGGTCATCAGAACACAAAAGTTTAATAATAATAACAGTCTTTCTGTAATATTTGTATCAATCTGACCTAAAAAATCCGACTAGATTAAACTTTTGTTGCATGGAGAAAGTGTGTCGGTGTTTCTCTTCCATTGATTAATATGTAAGCAAACCTAAAAAATGAAAGGTTCTTCTTTCAACACAAGTCAAAGTTACAAGGCTGAGTGCAGAAAGGACAGAAGAAGAGTAAAGTAGAAATCTCAGGAGCCTTTCACTAAGAAACATCCAATTACCAAACGTCTAGAGTGAGCCACTAACGACAGGTGGAAGTGAAAGATTACAGCATGCAAAAACAGATAACACTATCTGCAGCTTTCACTTATTCACTCTGGGATTCTGGGTCATTTTGGAGGAATTCGTTGGTTCCATTTTAAATTAAACCACTGCCAAAATGAGGTGCGGAGGTATTCAAAAGAAAAATGTTACAGTTGATTTTAACCACCCGCTGTCTTCTTTATGATAGCGTTGAAACATCGTGCTCAGGGGCAGCGTAGAATTTAGAGACACCAAAGTGCAAAAGGCCTCCAAAAGTTCACTGCAAAAAGTTAAAAGCTTTTTAAATATCCTGTGGCTCCCGGGTTTCTGTGTTTAAAAAGATGAATGAAGCCAGAACTAAAACCAAAAGACTCTAGTGTAGGTATTTGTAACATTTCCTCTTCAATGACCGCCTTCTGTACCGTCTTATGGCATCAAATATTAAAAAGAAACTTCTCAGAGAAAAGATGAACATAAAATGTCCTTATAACTTTCATGATGAATCTGGGATTGAGGGGGCGAGGTTTGTGACCTGTACTGCAGCCTGTCAGCAGGGGGAGCTCTAAATCTTTTGGCTTCTCTGAAGGCGAGGTGTTCGTCTGTCTGTTATTCATGTAGTTTATTGTTTGCAGCGACTCGGCTCTCCGCTCACGTTAACGCCTTGCAGAGAGGGGCGGACAGGTTCAGATTTTAAACATTAGCTTCTAGTTTGTTTCTAGCGGCTTGGCTAGTTTTTGGCTCATTATTCCATAAGTGTTTGTTGTTTTAAAGATTTTTAACAAAAGAAAAACATTTCGCAGACGTTAATGTCGCATTAAACTGAGCAGGTCATTATAGCCAGAAGAAAAAGAGTTAAAAATCTTTGTCTCTACACACCTTTCAGCTGTCTTTTAAGGGGCCTGCTAGCTTAGCAACAACTAGCAGCCGTTGTTATTGAAGGTAGTTTTACCTTGAACCTTTATCAAGAACATTTTATCGCCCAGCGTCACCGCACAGTTAGCTAGGTAGCTAGCCAGGTCATTAGCCAACATGTTATTCTTTCCAGTGTTCAAACCTAAAACTTAGTTTATTGATTACACTTTAAAAACATCGTCTTCAACGACTCCCTTTCTCTCTTTTAGACCCCCCCTCTGTAGTCATCGAGGGCTACGACAACAACTGGTACGTCGGCCGCTCAGACGCTGCACTCCTCTGCCTGGCCAGCGCCAACCCTGAGCCCACCACCGTCACCTGGACCGCGTAAGTGTCAAACGCCCTCCGCCTGTGGCGCCGCTCCGTCTCCCTCTTCCTCAGCGGAAAGTGACAGAGTTTCTAATTGTTGCCGTAATCACGACAGAATATGCAGAACAGTCCCGCCTCTTTAATGATAATTTCTTAGTCATTTTTTTGATAAAGCACAAATGCTCTTAACATCTCATCTTGATGGGCAGATGGCGTGCTGAGCTGTGTGTGGCGTGCTGGATGAATACTGAGCAGGGAGACAGAGCGGCTGCTCACATGTCTGGGATTTTTCTCACATTAATGTTGTCTTTGAATATCGCAGTTACAGATCTTTTTTTCCATTCTTCATCTTTCCCCTCTGTGTTTCTTTTCACATTCTCTTCTCCATTCTCTCCTTTTTCATCAATTTCTCTTTTTCATTTCCTTTTGCCTCCCTTCTTTATTCTAATATCTCAAAACGGATTGTCCCCTCACTGCTTTTTCGTTCATTTTTTTGCCTCCTTTCATTTGCTCCCTCTCCCCTTTCTTTCATCATTTGTCGCTTTTCTCTCTTTCTCTTTTTCTCTCTCCGTCACCCAATTCTCCATTTTTCATTTCTCACTTTGTTTTCATCTTACCAAATCTCTTCCTCATCTTCTTCTTCCTTCATTTCCCTCCCCTGCAGGGCTTCCGGTTCTCTGCCCGACACGGTGATGGTGGACGGAAACAAGCTGACTGTGAGGAAGGTCGACGATGCCGTCAACACGACTTTCATCTGCGAGGCCAAGAACAAGCACGGGGCAAGCAAACACCAGATCACCACCATCGTCATAGGTGAGTCCATCAAACCAATCCTCATGGACTATATAAAAGTGGACGTAGCCTTTTTTGGTTTTTAGAACTGAAGCCAACACAGATGTGCTTAGCTTAACTTTACTGATCGTAAAACAAGTCTAGAAACGGGTTACTTTTTAAGAGCTCATGCAGGATCTGCTTTTAGATATGGCTTCCTTTGATTGACAAGTTGCCATGGTAACCTGTAACTTGTGCAGAAAGGTAGCATCATGTATCCAACCCTCTTGTCCAAATAAGGGCGGTTACGGTTTTAAAAACCAAAATGCTTAACTCAAGGCTTCAAAACAGGAGTTTAAGAACCAATGGTTGCTGTAATGTTGGATACGTCCACTTCTGTTCTACAGTCTACGATGTAAAAAGAGAGAAACGCATCACACACACCTACACACACACACCTGTACATGTGTGAAAGTGTAAACATGAAGCACACAATGTAGTGCTGCAAAGATGCATGTTTATTCACCTGCAAATGTGATGAACACAAAGATTACATCTGACAGCGTCCGTCAAATGCAACATGACAGTTCTATCAAACAGCATGTAATTACACACACACACACACACACACACACACACACACACACACACACACACCAAACACAAACAGATTTGCACCAGTTAGCAACTAACACACACTCAAATAGACATTAGCATGTACACACAGGCCATACATTCCTCCTCAAACATGCAGATACACTTGCACACATGCATGCACATGAACACAAATCTCTCTCTACACACACACTCAAACAGACACACACACACATACACACACACACATGCTGGGATCAGGGCTGATCTGAGAGCTGCAGGGAAGCTGTCTCTCTCAATCTTCACATTGGATTGTTTTCATGGTTTTCCTCCTCGCTGGCCGGCTTTCTACAAGGCGCTGCAGAGGCTTTTGATTGACCCTTTCCCCACAGCGGGGCCAAATTGCAGGACAACGAGGGCCAACTCGAAAACCTTTATAACTTGAGATCGAAACCACTCTCTTTAAACCTCACTCTCTACAATCACGCTGCGGCCGAGGAAACTGTTGCACCGCTGGACGTAAATTAAATGTGAATTGTGCTTTATGAGTGTGAGAGCAGGCCCTCGTTACAGCGTTTTGGCCCCGCGGCGGTGATGGTGGCGGTGTTGGGATTGTTGGAGGGTTTCTAAATTCTTCCACGCGGTTCAGGTTGGTGTGAGCCAGTTTGCCCAGGTTTGTTTTTCTTTCCCTTTCCTTCTTGTTTTTTTCACCTTCTCCCCTCTTTGCATCCACTAATTCTCTTAACTAACCACTCCTCAGCATGAGTGCTCTGTCTCCTTTTAAGTTTCCTCTCTCACTTTCATATTTGAATCTCTCCTTTCCTTCTGAAAGAGTCTGCATGCCCTCTCGATCTCTCTGCTGGGTCTTGACTTTTTGACATTTGCTCGTCCGGTGGTTCGGCTGCAGCTGCCACGGTGTTTGGTCAGTGTTCATCATTATTTCTCCTGCCCTCTGACACTTTCGCACTTTGATCGGACACAAACAAACGCCTGCACTCACACAGAACACATATACAAACACATGAACGTATCGGCATGCTGTAAGGCCTCACTGCACATCAGCAAACCAGCCTCAAAACCAGCGCACTTGTCTCTTCATAATATCACCATGTTTGTGTACTTTCCTTCCTTCTTCTATGAATCTTTTTTTTTTTGAGGAATCACTTTGAATAAGAACCATGTAAAGCGTTGCAACAAAAACAAAAACAAATGCAAAAACTTCCCCTCTTTTGCCAAAAAGCTACATTTAGAAAATCCGTGGGAAATCAGAGCAGGAGATTTGAATCGTCTCCTCTGAGAACAAAGATGCTTTGTAACCGGGCGGATGTGTGGGAGGTTCAGAAGTGGCTAAGCTGCTGCTGTTCTTACTGTGAGCACTGCATTGTGATTGATTTAAAGTATCGGGGAGGGTTTCTCTTTTCTAACCGCACACACATGTAAGCTTAACGCTCAGAAATCCTTCACAACGCATGTAAAAACCTCTCACTCACATTTACACACAAATGTTTCATCTCTTCCGAGTACCTGAGATCAAGCCCGGGCTTTGTGATTCATCCTCCTCCGTGTCAAATGTGTCCTTGTGTTTTTCGCTGTTTGCTTGTGTTCCACTGCACTTAAATAACAAGAAGGGTGTGAGACAACAGAGTGACTTAAATCCGTCACTTCAACACGTGTACTTTTAGAAGCCGGGTGCCAGAGTTTGGAGTGCAGCCGGCTGGCGAGGTGCGGGCTGACGAAGCGCTTTGCTGAATGAACGAGCAAACACAGCAGCTTGTTTTTTGTTTGATGCTTTCGCCAACTCTCTCTTCCAAAGTGACTTCCTGTGAGTACATATAGAGTTGATGCATGACTCAAGGACACGGTTTAACTTTGCCATTGTAGGAGTCGTACTTTGACCCACTGGCCTTATTGTCTGAATATTCTTTAGAGCAGTAGAGTCTTATCTACCTAACTTCTAGGGACGGGCATTTTCAGTACTTTTAATATTTGAGTACTCTCATCACCTCATGAACAAATACTGTAAAAAAGAAAAGTAGACGGTACCTGCACCTCCAGGTGGTCTGCTATGTTTCTCTGCAGTGTCGGTCGTTGGATCCTAGTTCTTAATGCAGTGATGGTAACATGACTCCGCTGTCCACGAGTCTATAGTGACAGACACTTTGTCAACACTTTGTAAATCAGCCCACAATTCTGCTGCTCTTTTCTTCAAACGTCTTTTCCACTCTCTTAGCTGTCGTTCGCCGTGATGGTGGCTTGTTCTCTCGCTTGATAAACGGCATCAGAGTCAGAAGCCTTTTTCTTCCTTCCACAGAACTTTAAGGAAGCGTTTCTCCAGTAAACATTTTCTTTACTGGCAGTGTCGTTTTCTCTGCTCCGGTGTCATGACAACAACAGGTGCTAACAGGGCTAGCATGTGATGAAACGCGACATTCCCTTTAGTCCCTCTCTGCTGGTTTCTCATTGTGCTGTAAGTGCATGTGGTGGGTGTAAACGCCACATATCTTGCACTGACTGCACTTTACCGTCAGAGTCCTTCATGATGTTTCTTTTCCTGGTCACGTCTGAAATGGTGCATGTGTAGCAACATGTTTTTTTTCCTGCTGTTGTCTCCATTAGATCTGAAAAGAGACAGAACATGTAGGTGAAGAGATACACCAAATGGTTGCAGGAGGGAGTCAAACCAGCAACAAGTGAGTCAGGGACTGTAGCCTGTGTGTAAGTGATGCATGCTCTAACTACTGAGGTAAACCAGTAACCCATTGGTCAGTGAATTTTGTTGACTGTTAACAAAACTCGGTGTTTTGCATTTCTGTTGCACAGCTGTTTCAAAATGAAGAATTCCCAGTTCTGAGAGAGTACCTGGAGCTGCACACAGTTTAAACATGCTCCAATCTCAGCAGGGCAGTACTGTGCATACATTTAGACAATCAGTAGGGGAAGGAAACCATTGAGGGTTGATCCCAGCTAACCCCTCTACTATGCAGGGTGACAGTATCAAGGGTCAAGGTGATGTTATGCTGTGATGTTGCACTCGTAGTGCTGATTATCATGGTGAGGTATGTACAGTTAAATCATGCCGAACCGAGTCCAGCTGGCATTCTAGTCTTCCTCCTCTTCATGGAATATAACTTTAAGGTTCCCTGACACAAAAAGAGCTCAGGGTCTCACTGGAACACAGTCAAACCAACATGTCTTTGAATCACAGTGATCCTTGCTTTTGTTCAGCAGACGTCTGTGTTTCCTGAAGAAAAACCATGACAAGTAAACCTTTTGCCCCTGACTTCAGTGATACAAGTCAGTTCCAGTTCTCTCAGCGTGAGATCTTAACTGTCAGGCGCTGGAGGCCCCGACTCTCAATAATGTAACCGTTAATAGCACGGCACTTTGTGTACACCGGGCACCCGACACACCCCGCTAATTTCCCCGCTGAGAAGCGTTAACGGCTTCTCTCTGTTCTGCTAAATGGTAGATGAAAGCATCGAGCTGTCTGGCTTTTTCTGCTGCCGTCATGTGTGAGGATTCCCACCCCGTCAGCCTCCTCTGAGGACCCGACAGAGAGGAGGAGGAGGAGGAGATGTGAGGATGCATGTGGAGAGGGGGTGAGGCACAAGAGACTGAAAAAGAGGAAGAACGTTTGGGCGAGGAGGAGTGGAGAGTGAGAGATCTGCTGACTTAATGGTTCAAGAGATTTATCTAGTTACATGGTAACAACATGGCAACTACAAATGTGTCTTACGCTAGGATTCAATTCAATTCAATTCAATTCAATTCAATTTTATTTTGTATAGCGTCAACTCATAACAAGTGTTATCTCAAGACACTTTACAAAAAGCAGGTAAAATACCTTACTCTTTGTCTGTTAACATTACAAAAAGCAGGTAAAAGACCTTACTTATTGCTATATTACAAAGACCCGGCCTGTCCATCATGAGCACTTTAGCAAAGCAGCAAAAGTTACAGTGGTAAGAAAAAACTGCCTTATTAAAAGGCAGAAATCTTCAGGCCGGATCCCCGGCTCATGACGAAACAGCCTTCACAGGCCTAGACTGCACCGGGGTTGGAAAGGGATAGGGGGAGAGATGGGATAAGATGCAGGAAGAGGGATAGGGAGCAAGGGGGTGGGGGGAGCAAGGGGGTGGGGGAGGCAGACCGTCCATCATACAATATGATAGGATACCATTTAATGACCCATTGAGGAAATGTATCTTCATCTCATGTGCTGCACACATTAGTTGCCTGCATATCAGCTGAAAATAATTATGTCAGAAAACAAAACATGCACATGTTGGGGTAAATATTATCATGGAAATAAGACCCACCGCTTCTTCCTCAGGAGCTTTTAAACTGATGAGAGGGAAATGTGTACATCGCCCTCTCAACCATCACACACACACAACATTCTGCAACCCCAACCCTCAAATCCAATCCGTTCTGATGCACATGATGCC